GTGTGTGTGTGTGTGTGTGTGTGTGTGTGTGTGTGTGTGTGTGTGTGTGTGTGTGTGTGTGTGTGTGTGTACATATGTATGTGTCTGTGCCTGTGTGTAAGTGCAGTCAAACGTGACCCTCCGCCTCCTTAGTAAAGCAACGCCTTGACACGTGTTCGGGTAATGGCGCTAATACACTCATAAATCGAAATAAGCCCGGCACTGTCAAATAAAAGAGAGGGAGAGGGGCTGTGTGTCTGTGTGTGTCTGTGTGTGTTAGTGAGTGTGTAAAGTTTCAGGCTGCCGACATTATGGAATCAACCCATCCTGCTGCTGATGTCTGTTTATGGCTTTAAGCTAACACATACACCTCCTTGATTTCTCTCTGATAAGAAGTGTGTGTGTGCACATGAATATGTGTCAACTACACTCATTGAGGCAGCTCCGTGCTGTTAACCTGCGTGTCCTCCTCATTACGGCCCATATCCGTGTTGCTATGGACGATATGAGAGGAGGCAGATAAAGCAGTAGGAGGGATTTGCATTGTAATGCCCCCTTCTCTCTCCCTATCCTTATGTTTCTCACTGAAAGCTGAGTGGCTCACACACACACACTCTCACACACTCTCACACACACACACACACACACACACACACACACACACACACACACACACACACACACACACACACACACACACACACACACACACACACACACACACACACACACACACACACACACACACACACTGTCCCCAACTCTTTAGAGTGCATAACAGTGCTTTTTCTGACCTGTAGTACAAGTACATGGAGCACCAGTTGGAAACAATTGGCTAAAAGGCTGCAGGGCGAGATGGAAATAGGAGAGTGGGAGCAGAGGCGAGACACTTGAGAAGGGGGATTTCTGAGAACCATCTATCTTCAATATCCTATCAGGAATTAAGAAAAAAAACTGATTTCAGATTTAGAGCAACACATTTTCCATATTGTATCGTTGCGTCTGCCAAGACCTTGAAGCTATAGCTTTACTTGTAAACCTCAAAGTAAAAATATGCAAATGACCTCTTACATTCAGTGAGAGTTTACAGTTTTTCTCAATCGCTAAACCCACTATTTAGAATCAAAATTCCTTTCATCAAACCAACAGCACAGCCATCGAAACAGAAAACCATTTCTCTACAACAGTATACCATTTATCATTGATATCACACAAAATGCAGATGCTAAGCAGTGTTTTTTGCAAAACACTGCTTAGCATCTGCATTTTGTGTGATATCAATGATAAATGGTATACTGTTGTAGAGAAATGGTTTTCTGTTTCGATGGCTGTGCTGTTGGTTTNCTCTCTCTCTCTCTCTCTCTATCTATCACTCTATAACTGTCTATCTCTCTATCTCCCTCTCTCTCTATCTATAACTATCTATCAATATATCTATCTATCTAACTCTTCTCTATCTCTCAATCTATAAGGAACCGCAGTAGACAAAAGGCGTTGCTATAGCAACACGTCATGTTTATGTTTTCGCTCGAAATCAATAGCGGGAAAAGTGGTGGGGTCAATATGACCCGCTGGGCGGAAATTGGTATAAATGGCAATTTTTTGGGCGATTTCTTCAATCTGCCTTCATATTGACAATTTTTAACAACATAGGGTGCTTCATAACACACTTTCAGGAAAACTCACGGACTGGGAGACTTTAATATGTTATTGAAAAAAAGTTACATAAAATAAAAAAACAGCTCTGGGTCAAATTGACCCGATTGGCGGTTCTAGTGTTAAACATTTTCTCGTCACGAGAGGGATTTCCACCGCAGGTTTATATTTCCGTAACATTTGCACAATTTGTCCACATGCAACTGTCACAGGAGTTGTGCTGCAGTGCAGAGACATGGCGGAGTCATCAACAGCTATAACTTTCGAGGGGTGGAGGTATGCCCATTATTTTAAGTTTGCAAGAAGAAAGGACAGGAATGTGACGGGAAGGTGCACTGCTGCAAACACAACAAAAAACCTCTCCAAGCACCTGCAAAAGGCAACATGCTTACACGAAGCTAGAAGCTAAAGTGCTTTGAGCACCAGGAAAAGCGCTTTATAAATGTAATGTATTATTATTATTATTATTATTAAACAACCCCAAACCAAGAGTGATGATGTTGAGTGTGTGCCGACTCCGAACAAGCAGCAACAACTAGAATTTGAACTTATAGATATGTCTTCCTTATTGCAATAGTAATGTTATGTCTGTGTGCACATAGGTCTAAGTTTTAAGTTTTGGCTATAGGCTGTTGCTGAGTAACGCAAAAGTAATGTAAAGAGTAATGTAACGAGTTTATGTAGAGAGTAACGAAGTAAAGTAATACATCACTTTTTTTTAAAGTAATGAGTAATATGTAATATATTACTTTTTTTGAGTAACGACTGGTTGTAACTTAAAAAGCATAAGCATATTCTGTTAAGCATTCAGCATAAGAAAATGAAAAAGAATGTTAGTGAACATTTTGTTTATATGTTCTATAAGAATCAGAATGCCTTTGTTCGTTCCACAGCAGGGGAAATGTAAGGCGTCACAACAGCAAGGTACAGATAACTCAATTTAAAGATCCACACATGTTAGTTAGAATAAAATATAAAATAAAAAGTTTAAACAAATGAAATAACGACACACTACTACAACACGGTAGACAAATAGCATTATTAAAGTGAAAAAATATATATATTGAAGGAGCCAGTTACATACATTTTCTTTTACAAATTGTTAATACAATTAATAAATACAATGAATACATTATTTTATATTAAGATTTTGGTGGAGATGTTATTAATTCATTTTGTATTTACATTGTCTCTTGTATTCCAGCATGGCCATGGTTGCAGATATGCTTGACTGTAACTGCTAATGTCAGATTGCTGGTGTTACACTGTTTAAACACAAAGTGCAGCAGAGGTTGATGGGAAAATCATTCGTTTTTCAAATGTGGTAATAACCATGGCAGGATTTACCTTTATACGTCTGACGATGCCATCTACAGTTTAGGGGAAGGAGGGCCCCATGGACCCTTACTATTTAAATCGGTGTGGTTTTGCTGATTTGAGAAACACTATAAGAATTCCCGTCCTCCTGCTCCAGTTTCCTCCCCCTCCAGTTTCATAAAATAAAACCATTAATGGACCTTTTTGGAGTAGGATAAAAAAAAAAAAGTTGTGAAAAAACAACCTAAAACAAGCATTTCTACTTGGATGAGAGGGAGAACACAAGATGTGTAAGTCAAGGACTTTCCACAAAGACTGGCCAAACTTCTTTATCTCTTCCTACTCACTTTTCATACTTACCATACTTCATTTTCATGTGTCTGCCTAATATGATGATCTCGTCACCCACCCACACAAGTATTTATACTTAAACAACATCTGGGCCAATACAAGTTTTGATCTGATGATGGCACGACAGGAAAAGTCCAAGGATCACTAAAGATTGGCAAAATTTGACCTCCGGGGACAATAAGTGTACACATGTTGATCCATCTTTGACTATAGAGCCTTTTAGAACTTCTATTTCATATTTAATCAAATGAATGGGCATGTTTCTGAGAACACGCAGATTACGTTGGCTCTCCTTAACCTAACTTTTCCCAGAGAAGTCTCATGCTTCTGATCTGGGAGCATTCACAGTGGTCCTCTGTAGCCCAGGGACCACATTAATTTGATAGTTCCTGCAGCCTTTGTGCAGACGGCAGAGAGTTGATGGACAGAAAACCCAGTGATATCTGTCTTTTGCATTTTCATTTTTAACATCATTCAAGATGCATCTGGCTGTGACCGGATCTGCCGTCTCTGTCCATCTCAAGCCTCTCTCGCCTCCTCTCCAACCAGTGTCTGACCTGTCTGCGGTGATGGTCATTAAAGCTGAGCCAGCGGTGCCGGTGGGCCTGCTGCTTCCCGGCCTGCGTCCCTGCTGCACCGCAGTGAGCTCTCTGGCCCGGAGCCGCTAACAAGCTGTGCATTCAGACAGTTGATGCTACAAATGGAGCTTTTCACTGGACCAACACCGGAGATGAACAACTGAAGCGCTGTGGAATCCCCCCGGCTAGTGAGGGAGCGAGACCTCCCACCCTCTCCTGAGCCTTTACTATGGCGGACTCAAATTACAGTACTCTCAGCTCAGAAATCATGTTGTTATGTAGTTAAGTCTCATTTCACACCTTGTCTGCACTCTGTAATAAATAATGTATACCTAAAATGATTGTATATTCAGATTCACAGTTTGCTATGTGCAAATACGTTTACATTTTTTTTAAATGTTTAATTCCTAACTGTTACTTAAGGAGGATCTATTTTGCTTTTTTGGGTTTTCTTCTCGTGTAGTCTGTTCTATACTGCAAATATAATATAAGGAATTATTATTATACGTTTGTGTGCATATCAATGGTCAGCAAAGACTACAATTCCAAAGTCTTTGCTGACTTTGCAGAAGAGTTTCTCTCCAAAACACTCCCCCCCCCCCTTGCCTGAAATGCCTTCATTGGACTCCTTTGTTTACTTCAGTAACATAGTGAGATCACCTATGTCAACTTACATTTTACCTGTAAAAAACTAAGAATATTCAGGCTGGAGCCTATACCATCAATGAAACACATGAGCACTTACCACAGTTTAAAAAAACAGAAATACAATCTGAGCTAAAATAAAACGCTTTGTTTTAGTTGAATGCAAACAGTTAAGCTCACACACTATTTTATGAACATATTGGTTCACTTATTGAATTAAAAAAAGACCAAATAAACCAAGGAAAGTGAAAACCGAAAAGCACATTGAGGCAGTAGGCCTACAGAACAGTAAAGCTTACAAAGAAGAAATACAATCTGATCCTTTTACAACAAACACAATATGCTCTAGTTCTTTAGTTGCATTGTGTCTCTGCTAGTAATCCCCAACGTTCAGAAATGTAGCAGTAATCTGCATCAGTATGTATGTAACTTTAATGACATACAGTTACCTTTTTTTGTATCCTGATAATCCCCTTATATGGTATCTGCTACTCCCGAGCCTGAAAAGAAGGGATACAAAGGAACATTAAAGATAAAGGGAACATGGAGCAAGGAAAGTAAAGAGGAAAATGATTGTCTGAGGGTCTGACACCATCACTGTTGAAGCTGATTTTCTCTTTTTCTCTCCTTGTCTGACTATATATCCAAAAATAACACACACACATAAACAACCCGGCACATAACCTTCCAGTTGAGAGAGAGCAGAGCGTAGCCGGCTCACGGGGGAACAAACAGCGAGCTGCGTTCAGAGAATGAGCTCCCTGATGGCTCGCTCCTATCAGCTAATATAATCAATGGAGGAGCAGCTCTCAGGAGGAAATGAACCCATTTCAGACACCTTGCAAGTTTACAATAAAGAAACACAAATGACTTGTTAATTGCAAAGGCTTGGAATGCCAGAGAAAAGATCAAGTAGAAGAATTCAATAAACCTTTTGAGGATAAATATCACGATCTGTCTGTGTTTTGTCTTGTCTAGATCTGTCTTTGGTTTTCTGCCTGAGTTGTGTTTTGTCTTGTTTAGATCTGTCTTTGGTTTCCTGTCTGTGGTTGCGTTCGAATAGTCCATTTAGCTTAGGAACCTTCCGAACCGAGTGAAATTACCCGGAAGTCCCTCAGTGGCAGCCATGATAAGTGCCGTTCAAATTCTCTAGAATGATAGGAAAGGAGGTTTCAAACTTCCTTTATAACCTCCTTTAGCTTAGGAACCACTGGACCTCCCTAACCGAAAGGAGAGGAGAAAATGCTGCCCCACAATGCCTTGCAGCCGCAGCATTTGCCGTCACACAACAGTCGGCCGTTCACGGACACAAACGATTATGACGGAGAAATTATATCATGAAAGTTACGGTTCTTATTAAGCATTTTAAAACGTATGTGGTAAGTTGCCAAAGTGCTTTGTTTTGAACGTTCATCAGTATTATAATCAAAAAGAGAAATATGAACGTTAGTTTTTACTGAAATTATCAAATAAAGTCAACATTTCACTGAGCTGTGTGGGGTTTTGTTCAACTTTTAAAAGATGTTTGAATGGTGATATACACAGTGATAGGTGTTAAGGTAAGGGCTAGTGTCGCAGTGGCAAACACTATACCTTTTGCTGGCTCCAACAGTGCGTTCCGTCAGGCAAAGTCTGGAGAGAGCGCTGTAAGTCGGTGTAATAACTGTAACTTGTGATTGCGTACGGCACCGTCGAGGGGACCCAGGGGGGGGGTGGCGTACGTGGTGTACGTGAATATCCTCCGTATAGCTTCTGTCTACAGAGTTTCCTCTCATCTCACAGAAGTCGTGATAATTATATTCTCTCTTGTCGAAATCTAAAAAAAAATAATTTTACGATTCTCTCTCTCACCTCGCGAGACAATAATTACCTGCTCTTTCGCCTATTGTGTCTCTCCGTCTTTCGTAAGTAATCACGAATAGAGAGTCGTGATATTTACGTTATAAATTTTTAAACGAAAAATACATAAAAGTGCGTTACCTGTATTTTGACGAGACTTTATACGTGACGTGCAAGGGGACGAAAATAATGTGATATTGTCAGAGACCTACATATGTAAAACCCAAATTATTCATGTCTCTTCATGCATGTATGGAAAGACTAAAAAATAAAGGCAGAGGTAAGGCGGATTAAATAGGTAGAAATTCAGATAGTACTGTTCCTACCGTGTTGTCCAACTTATTGTAAAAACGAAATACGGACAGTCACGGACGCAGCCACCCCAGGCCCCCACGCCCACCCCTCTCTCTCACCCTGTATGGACTAGTAATCGCTCTCTCTCTCTCACTCTCGCGCGCTATGTAGAATTGATAAACCAACACTTCTCCTAGTGTAAAAGTTGCATTTGTTTGTGTATAACGTCAACATCTTTGGTCGCAAATTTTTGATCTCCAAAACTACACTCTCTCGCATCGCAAACAAGATTACCAATGTATTGGTTTACATTAACGAGCAGTGGACATTATTATTTACATTAGTCATTGGATTATACTCTTAGTTCTATATTTGTCAACTTGGACTAATTAGACAATGACTCGAGATAGTTTACGTTTGGTTTGTTTTCTCACATTTCTATTTATCCAGTTCCACAAAACGCTCCAATAGTGCACTTCTCTGTCTTTGTAAAATGACGTGGTTTTTCTTACATAAATCTATTCTCATGAGATATCTCTTTGGACGGAAAGTACTTAGCCATAAGTCGATGTCGGCTTGTTTATTTGTGTACTCGTCGGACTGATGTCATTTTTTTCGTCTATAGTTTAGACTCAAATGTCTTTTACGAGTCAAAACTCGCTAGGCTCGTACCGTATTTCGTCTAAGTCGTCATCCGCATATCCTAAATGTGAATTCCGCGCTCTTGCTATCGCGCGCTTGTTTGTCGCGCTACGACAGCACCACGATTGTGCCACTACTCACCTGCGGGTTAGAACTTTAATTGTCATTATTACTACTGTAAACCGCAATATTGACATTCCCTTAAGTCATGGATGTCCTATGATTAGGCCAGGCGGGGTTCGGAAAATACCAAATGCAATCGCCTTAGTTCGCTCCTGGGTTTACAGCCGTCTATTGCGCGCACGCTCCGCGCGTCTTGGTGAAGGGGTCCACCACTTGTGTCAGCGCTCTCCGTTTGGCTGGCTCTGGTTGTTACTGTCTGTCTTCTTTTGTCTTGAATTTATGTGTGCTCTGATTAGTCCCTTTGTTCCTGCTCTGTGTCCCCTGGTCACTTTCTCGTGTTAGTTATTTTGTCCATCCTCTGTTAATCGCTCAACGCACAGCCTACCTCAAAACTTTTAGTGAGGATTTAATATTAGGACTTAGAGGATGAAGGACGGAGACTCATTTGCAGTGCCCCAATTCCCTATCACTTATCCTCTTAAGTTATTCCTGAATCTCTTCCTCTTCTCCTGACGCCATGAAATCTCGTCCCAAGGGTTTCACCAGCGCTCGTGGGGCTCCACCCCAAACGTCTACTTAATGTTTTTTTTACCTTTTATTTTTTTATATTTATACTCTCTTCTTTTTCAACTTTAACTAATTCTTTTTATCTATACTATATAAAAAGCCCTAATAATTATTATTGCAACGTGTCTGTAAAAGTCCCCGCTGACTCGGTAGACTATTTTAGGGGCGCGTTGCTCCGAGCGGGGAAATGTTGGTGAATGCGTCCAAACACGCCTTTGACTTTATTTAAGTGATCGTTCCCCCCCCCCCTGGGGACGAAATCTTTTAGGTTTACGTGAAAGTGATAGTCTGCACAAATACTACGCGGTCGCCTGCAGTGACGACGCCACCCCTTTCATACCCTTTGATGTCAAAAGATATGGTTGCCTGATGTTGTACCTACAAATTATTCTTGCTGCCTGGTAGATCTCTGAGACGTGGCACGAGACTACCGACAACGAAATACGAAATACTTGTTGTCTCTTTGTATAAGAAGTACTGGTTTTTTAACCTTAACTTTATTTTTTTACTTTCACTTTGAATACGAGCAGTGCGAGAGGGAGTCCAGGTGTAAATTATGTTTACTAGGGGTTATGCATACTAACATACTTGATAGTTTTATAGAATTTTAGTTATGTTTACAATAAGTAATTTTNCTCAGGATGAGTTTCGCTTGTTCTCGCTGTATCGCCGACCCGGAAGCCTGTCCGCTCCTCGCAGCAGATCGCATCAACGAGCCTTGCAACTTCCCGACCAATCAGAGCACACTGGGCTCACAGGGAGGGGGGGGCAGGAGCTCCAACAAGCCGTTTAGGACAGAGAGTGAATGCACATACTATACAGAGATGCTGTATGAGATATACATCTATTTTAGTATACCTCAACAATGGAATTATGATCAGTAGAAATGGCCATAACATGGGCCTTTTAACACTTTACACAAAATGTTAGAATTTTGGGAATGGAAATTTCATTTGTTTTGTAGGCATTTGTTCATAGACTAAAGTATTGGAACCATTAAAAGTCAGGGTTGATGGTGGCCTTAGAAGAAAAGTTTAGTTATACCAAAGTCGGCTAGACATGTTAACTCACTACAAAGAGAAATACTTTACTCATCTATGCATGAGTCTATGTATCAGCAAAACAATAAGAGACCGTGACATCTGGGAGGTCAGACAAACCTGCAGCAGAACACACAATAGCTGCTTCTGAGCATTCTGCATTCTGCATTCTGATACATCTGTGGGTTAAGACTTTTCATGGGCATAAATGGTGAAAACAAAAAACATTTTAAATGTATTAAACTCCAACCAATTAACTACAAGAGTTGTGTTAATCCATACATGACCGGTAAAGACATTGTGGGGATGTCTGGAGCTCTGTCTCACATCATTATCCTTTCTACACTCCAATTATCCCTGTTCTATTATGAACAGACCAATAGGAACGCACAGCTCTTGACATCCCTATAATTTGACTGCCTTTGTGCACTGTAATTTCCCTCCATGTACTGGTTACTATGTGTCTGTGTCTGTATTCATGTGATTGCTTACCTTCAAAAGACTGGAAGATGATGGGTGCAAGGAGCTCCTGGTACTCTTTGACTTGAGCTTGATTTCCTCGGAACACCCCTGCAACATGAATACACATTAGCAACAAGTACACAGTTATTAATGATACTAATTCTAGAGTTGGATTAAATTTTGTGTGACACATGACAACAACAGTTGCCTATTTCCTCCTCCTATTATGAACTAGCACTTTATATTAATTACAACTATTGGTGTTGTATCGGTATTGATTTTTTGAAGCTTTGAAGAGGTAATTCAACCTAATTTAATATAAGTATTACTAGGGATGTAACGATACCAAAAACTCACGGTACGATAATATCGCTATAAAAAGTCCACGGTACGATATTTATCGCAATATATATATTTATTTTTTTACTTGAATTTTTTTTTCTTTATTAAATAATAAATCCGATTTGTACAGCATTTTAGTAGGATAGTAGTACTTTAGTGTCAACAATACAACCTGGTTCAATAAAGGTTAAAAAAAAGATTATTTAAAAAAAGATTTTAAAAATCGTGGTATATTTTCTCAGTCTCACGACAGTATTGAGACATTTATTTACCGTGATATTCGATATATATTGTTACATCCCTAATTATTACATATGTCCGCCTTTCCTCCTATTTAATGGAAACATATGCCATTGGCTTGCGGTGCTTAGAGCACCAATAGAGTTAATTGAAGAAAGCTCAAAAGCAATGTCTGGTTCCCAGAAATCTTGACCAGATAAGACCTCGTTGTGAGCAGTTTCATGAAGGAACTTTTTTCTTTCTAAACCATTTAATTGGCTTAACACAAAATACAAAGTTGCTGATGGGAAGGTATAACCCTAACCCTAACGTTTGGCCCTCAGCACAGAATAGACTGCCTTGGGGGCACTTAAATGAAGGAACTATTCTCATTCTCCAAACTACACCTGCAAGCGTATCACCAGGTACGATAGGTCTTACATCTTCACACTTGTTGTTTGGTGTTACTCAGTGGAATAAATAGTCCCTTCACCAAAAATAACAAAAATAACTACAAACAGGAAAACAATTGCATTATTGATATACATTGTCTCTTTAAAAGCCCTATTCTGTCCTTAAAGTTAAACCTATAATATCAGACTAGACAGCATCTTTATTCTGACCTTTTAGATCAAGAGAATACCCAACCAGCTTTTTAACTGTATTGGTCATGTCATTTCAAAAGATATGATAATGTTTAAATGTCAGACACATTCAGGGCCATATCATTTCTGATTGCTTTTAGCATTTTTAACCTTCTTGTTATGACATCACTGTACTTTAAGTTTTGTATTGTTGGTACACAAGATTAGATATAGAGTTTTGCTTTTTCAAGCGCCATTTATCTTGTTTTTGGATCAGTTTGAAACTCATTTTGTGATTTATGAGTTGTTAAAAGATGGTTCCATTAAGTTGAACAGTTTCATTTGTTTGAGATGGGACAACCGGCCTTAAATCAAATTGTTTGTTTGTCCTACAAAGGTTAGTGGAGTAGAAACCGACATGATAGTGATTTAATAATGCTTGGCGGAAACTAAACTCCTTACCTCAACTGACTGTTCCCCACACACATTTCAAACATCACATATCTCTTAAATTGTTTCTTAGTCCTCTAAAACCTTGCAAACACCAAAAATGCAATCTCCTATCAAATGCTTCAAGACCGTCTTCTATCTTCTCAATGACCCACTGGAGGCATCGAGACGGCAGCTTTGGGTAGAACAAGGCTTACCGTCAATCATCATGTGGATGAAAAATATGGGAAACTCGCACTCGATCCCATCAAAGAGCTGTAGAGAGACAGAGAGAAGGGGAATTATTGCTTTTCCATTTCAGAAAGAGGAGAGAGGCACAGGGACTTTAAAGTAACGGATGGCTGAACTTTATGACACTGAATATGGAAGAGAATGGCACGGGGAAATATGAAAAGAAGACATGACATTGTGAAGGAAAATGTACAGAATACAAAGGGAACAACACAATCCTTATTTGAAAGGTCATTTTTCTGCAATGCAAACGTGTGCGGCTTGTTTTGAGGACATTTGAAGGTCTGAGACGTGGAAAGTTTTATACATTGACAAATACATGAAGTATACTGAGAGAAAAATTGGATCATTGTAGTATTTGATGTCCATATGACGTCAGGCTTACATACTTGGTTAGATATAAAAGGCTAGAAGATACAATCATGTACCTTGGAGATGAAATGGTTGAAATTCGAAGAGATGCACTGAACTTTGAGACAACTGAGACAACCACTGTCGACCAGTTGCGAACCGTCGTTAGTGGTGTCATTTTTGGTTTTCAGAGAATACCCTGGAACACTCAGATAAAACCAACAAAAAAATCGATTGGGCGCGGCGGCACGGTTTGCCACTGCTGTCAACACCACCATCTAAGGGTCTGTTTCCATACAGCACCTCATTCTGAGCAGCGATGTCTTTTTTCAGTTATTTTCAATGAAGAGAGAGCCATAGCGTTGCATGCGGATGCCTCAAGAAAAATGGCAAATCCCACTGCCATTGGCAGCTCTTTTTTGAGCATTACGAATAGAGAACCGCAGTGACGCGTCGTAAAACCCGGAAGTAAGTTAGCATTTTTAGCACTTCCGGTTCCTTCCTCAAAAAGCAATGCATTTTTTCCATAGGGTTTTGGAAAATAGCTCGAAATAAGGTCTGTGGTTGACACAAATTTAAGAGATAAATCATGTTTTGTTCTACGACATTAAATACATCAGCAGTGACCCCACTGGGGATTTTTGAAGAGTTTACGTGTCTGAAAAACGATGGTTGTTACCGAGGGGCTGAATAGGACTACAGAAATAGTCGAGGCCATTACGCCGAACACGTAAACACTCCCGCTAAGTTTGTTTTCCCCCGTGTTCTGCTTGAAAGCAAGTACCTGCCTATCTTTAGTATCTGTATATCTATATCTGACCATTAGAATCTGTATTTTTGAAATTGTCGTTTTTAACACCGTAGTTTTACAAATTATAGAATAATTAATTACCAGTGTTTTCCAATTTTACTCGNAGAGAGAGAGAGAGAGATAGATAGATAGATAGATAGATAGATAGATAGATAGATAGATAGTTATACATATATAGATAGATAGATAGTTATACATATATAGATAGATAGATAGTTATAGATAGATTTATAGATAGAGAGCCGCGGTCATATTTCCGAAATGGACAAAAGAAAGAGACTCATGAATGTTCAGGAGGCATTAGCGTTGCTNACTTGACAACAGCTAAGCTAAGCTAGGCTACTACTTACAGCATCCAGGTGACTTTTCAGAGTTATTGTGACACCGTGGTAGGCCAGTCGTATATTTGGCACACTGCCTTCTTTTTACCGTCGTCCAATTTAAAATGGTCCCACACAGCTGAAGTCTTCGGCATTTTGTGGGTGAAAAGGGGATGAAGCGTGCCGTTTGCGTTCGTGACTGTGAGTGAACGCGATGTCAGGAGCACAGGCTGAGATTCTATATATTTCCGCATTTTAACAGTGCAATGCAAAAGTATAAATATAGTATAAGAATATGGCAATTCGCCTTTATTGATAGCATACATTTAGGGGAAAACATTTTTTAAAACGAATATCCGAATTATGAAATTGAAACCCGAATAGTTGGCCAACCAACGAATAGTCGAATATTCGGGTACAGCCGTACACCAGTAACCCAGCTCACACTGTCCGCTCCTCACAGCAGCGAGCCTCGCAACGTCCCGCCAACACGGCACCCAGACCCCACGCAGCATTCTCATCTGTTTGTACTTACTGGTGTCATTTTCTGGTTGCTAACAAACGCCATTGTAACACATAATCACTGATGTTCCGCTGTAACGGTGGTAGACTCATCAGAACAGAGTGGGCGAGCTGACCAATCAGAGTACAGTGTGCTCACAGGGAAGGGGGGGCAGGAGCTCCAACAAGCCGTTTAGGACAGAGTGAATACACATACTATACAGAGATGCTGTATGGGAAACCAATGTGAGTTTGGAAAATTGCAAAAAAATATAAATATATTCTAGTAGACCTCAACAATGGAATTATGATCAGTAGAAATGGCCATGTCATGGGACCTTTAAAGAAGCGAGTATTAATGATGAAGCGCTCAGAGTAAAAAACAGACACTATGTTAACACAGGGCTTAACCATGCAGGAAGTCAGTTCCAGGGCCCTGCTTGCTCCTGGCTAATGTCCAGTTGAAGGAAAGTAAGATGGATGAAGTAAGAGTCAGGCTCATTAAGCAACGGTAAATCAGAGACTATTGGGCCTACAGAATATAGCTACAGTAGCAAACTAGATCAAGCTAATGTACGTGACGGGCAGCTTGCAGGACTCTGTGAGACGAAAGGAAATGGACAGTGTTCACATCAGTGGTGAATTGTGTTCAAACTTCAAAGTGTTTCTATAATGTCCAAATTTAATTTTAGGATGCCGGAAGTCTGAAATGGCAGAATAATTCCCTTTTGTTTTTGTTGCCACTGTTCCTCCTGATGAAAATGTAATAATACAAAATGCAATAGAGGAAACCTACAGTAATTCCAACCCTGTGTTGCAGAAAGACAAAAAGTGGTCCTTGAAATGGCAAAAGTGTTTTTATTCCTTGTTCTGAACTAAATTATCTGGGCCACAGATATTCTTATAAAACATACATTTCCCTTTTTTTTCATCAATGGGTGTTCAATTGGGTTGGTGACTGTAGGCTTATGATTTACAAGTTCAAACTGTTTATTGGCCCTCGTATGGAAGAAGTGCATTTGTTATGTTTATCCACGTATTCATTAAATGAAACCTCCCCCACATATACACTTTACATGATTGACAGATCGATATGTGTGAATAACGGATGATGCACCAGGGACTGTGGGTGTTTTCAGACGACAGAATGTAGAGAATTCAAAGCCAGCATGTGGCAGCAGCTGGAGTTAATTTTCCGGAACAAACACTTGAACTGACATAAACACCATTATTTGTTGGATTATTGTCTGAATCTTACTCAGCCATAAATCCTATTATAGATCACACATCATGTTTGTGTTGAGTGCCACACTAACACAAACCTTCATTTGGTTACAAGTCACACGCAGAGAAGGCAGTCGAGTGAATCACAGCCTTATTAATCCCAATAATTCAATCCTAGCTTGTTTATGCTCCCCTAAAGAGGATCAGACTAAAGCGGCTCTATAAAGGGCTCACAGACATTTTCATGGACAACATCAAAACTTTTCAATTACTTTTCAAGGACAAACAAATGCTACTTTCCCCTAAATGTAAAAAATAAATTGTATGAGGGTCAGTCCATTCATTATTTTTATATATTTTTTAATTGCCTTACAAGCAAGTCCATCTGGCGCTGGATTTCAAGCATGAGGGGACATGATGCTGATTGTACTATCAGTGTATTCTAAATGCATTTTATATACATTTATTTCTTGATGTCTGAAAACTGTGCAGCAGCTTTATGTAGTCTACATACTACCTCATCTGTTATGGCTCGCTTGTGACCCATACATTGGTCATTCGTGAGCCATTAAATATGAAATGTACACTTGCCTGCCATTATTAAAACCAAATCAGATTCAAACATAATATTTGTTAGCTGGCAATCTTACAGCGGGAGTCGTGACGTGGGAGAAAATGAAGAAACCTTTGTGATAATAGACATTATCACAAAGTGTGTGTATGTGTGCGTGTGTGTGTGTGTGTGTGTGTGTGTGTGTGTGTGTGTGTGTGTGTGTGTGTGTGTGTGTGTGTGTGTGTGTGTGTGTGTGTGCAAGTGATGTTACAGCCACAGAAAATACATTTGCTGTTTTTTTCAGTTGAGTGAAAGGTTGACATGGAAGAATTCTTAAAATATACTTTATTTCCTCACAACATGTTCAAGATTTTTCTGAAACTTCAAACTGTTTTAGTAGTTTCATGACCTGAAACATGCGCTTTTCTTAATTCCAATATTTTTCCAGTCTTTAAGATGTCTTTGGGAACCCACTCTATATTAACAGAATAACTATTTTACAGTCAGCAAGTAGTAATAACACCCAAAAATCATCGGGTCAGCTTAATAAAGAAAAAATAGAGACTGTGTGTATGTGTATGTGTATGTGTATGTGTATGTATATGTGCATGCGTTTGTGTGTTCGTCCGTCCGTGCATGCGTGCGTCCGTGCATTTAAACCCATTTGACTATAAATGCCACCATTCGTGGTTATCTTTGCCCCTCATCTTTTCCAACGATTATCCCTCTGGTGGAAGATAAAACAGATGACATCCTAATGCAATGACAAATGGCCGATAAAGCTGGCAGATATGTGGGAGCTGCTTTCACTTTCAGCACGCAGATAGGGGTGTTTTAAGGCTCAATATGTGCTTCTTTAAATATTTAATGTATGCACCCTGTGATGATGCAGGTATACTTGGCTTCAAACTGTGCATTTCAGCAGAGATGAGAAGCAATTAGGAGCTATCAGCGGCTGAGAGAGGGATGAAAAGGAGGCGCATAAAGAGATACAGAAACAGGGGAGGGTTTTTCTAGAAGGAGGGAGGCAGTCAACCAGTGAGGCCTGGGCTTTTTGGCCCATTGAGGCTGTAAACAGGCAGGGACCCCTGGAGTGTTGCGCCTGAGCAGCTCGACTGATTGGTAAAACTGTCTATCAAACAGGCTGTTGCTGCCTGTCAATGGTAAACAGACAAGGAGCACAGACGTCTGCCCTGCTGTGAATTCTCTTCTAAACACAAACAACAACTTCACTAAATGTCTTCCGCAGGGAGACCTGGTCTACCTGTGACTGGTTCCTTCCCAGACAGAGTGTGTTTAAGATCATTCCTCAGAGGAACATTTTACTTTTTTGTGATATACAGTGTTGGTGAAGTTGGTACACCATACTAATTCAAAGATGATATTGAACGTGATATTCAAATACGTTCCAAGCCACATATAAAGACCCAACACTGCATAGACAGACGGATAAAAGTGAATTATGTCACACTAGATGACACTGGTGTCACTTTCAATTACCTATGTTGAATTTTCTCTATTTGAATAGACTTTAAAGATTTTTTCCCTCTCAAATTCATAAACATTCAATCATTGTAAGGATACATACTGTTTGAAGTCTTTAAGAATGAAAAATACTTCAGTTCTAACATTTAAAAAAATCAGCAATGTGTTTCAATATTCATTCGTGGAAAATGCTAATCTTGTGCTTTATTTACTGCAATGTTTTATGGTACCAACTGGCCTAGTTTCCTCTTAACTGGATTCTTATTACTTTCTGTATTGTATGTGGCAACCAACATATTACTGTTGCTAGATGGATGGCAAATGGCAGCAGCAGAGATCAGGACTTTAAGTTATGAAACCTAACCGGCTGCCGGCATCGTCTTTTGCAATAAATCTGCCTGCCTCCGGGTAGAACTGACGGCAGAATGGAGCCTGAAGGAGCAGAGGTGTTTAATACTGCCAGCTAATTCTTAGCCTTAAAGTCTTTGTATCGTATTAGCTACAGGATTAAAGGAAGCTCATTTCAAAGTATTCTATAGTGGGTGTCCCGCGGATGCCCCCTGAGACACTTATAGCATTATTTGCTTTGTCTATGCCTTTTTTTTTCTGGTTTCAACACCATGGAGAGCCACCAAAATGCTTTGTAAAAGGGTTATTTTTTCCAACATTTTTTCAGAAACATAACAACCTTCAGAGCCATGCATGGCAATCAGTCAAATCCTGATGAGGTACACTCAGAATATATCATCACATGCCAGAAGGCGCCAAACCAATGCTGCACGTTACTTGATGTGTATAGCTATGTAAGCTTTATAAAAAAAAGATGTCCTTGTCACAGACATGTTTCTGACTATTTACAATTTAAGACAATTCAAGCAACATTAGATATTTCCGGCCGCTTATGGCATAAACCCAAAACCGAAAATCACTCTGCTTTTAGTCAAGTTATGCATAATATGTAACATAAATAACTATGTAGCCTACGTAAGTTAAGTATGTTATGTGAGTTAAAATAAGTCCATGTTGGCCCATTGGTTTCACGCAGTACATGAGCATTGTCTTCTTGGACGAAAGTCCTGTACATTTTTCAGACTTTTTGTTTTGTTTGAACAAAAGTACATGGATCCAATAGGCTCCTTTCACAGGCAACCTTCAAGGACATTTTTGAGACAGACGCATCTGTAGTACAATAATCCAAACCCTAGTGTCACTTGGCCTCAACCTCATGTGACATCAAGGTGCGAAGGACCCTCCACTCAGCAGAAGCGATGAGACCTCTTACGTATGTGCCTCTCAGAGCTCATTCATTCTGGGAGGTTAGTTCTGCAGCTAATGCATTGATTTATTTATCATTAAGAGTACTCCGTCTGATTTACCAACTGTAGTCACACTGAGCAAGTGTCATTCGCAGACATATATACTAAATGCATGAGCACACTCACTGACAGGATGGATCTCACGCCCGAACGCATTAAGATTGGAGGTGAAATACCTTGAGCCTCAAATGCTTGAAATGGGAGAGGCTAAGTCACAGACATATATTTGAGCTTTATCAAACAAGAATAATACCTTTGCAGGCTTAAACATTTCAAAAACGTTTCAAATTTCAGGCTCAAGCACTTTCAAGTTTACCTTTTGTAGGTCTTATGCATTGTCAACTATGAGCCTTTTGCTCTGCATTGACGTGGTTTCCTGAAATAACCCTTTGGTACATTTTTAAACAATATACTATTCTTTCTACTTTAAATCTGAATGAGTTGCTTTGGTAGCAGTAGGCAAGCAATGTTTATCTGTGAGTAGACCTCAATATCTCAAACAGCTGTCTGAAAGATCGTCAGGTAGCAGGTATTAGAAGGAGAGACTGCTTTTTTCCTTCTCTAGTGGCGTTCCCCAGGGATATATCCTGGATTCTCTACACTTTTTTTTCCATACACTCATTTTGAGGCATATCGTCCACAGATGTATTATTTATTTTAACTGCTGTGCAAATGAAACTCAGCTGTACGTCTTGCTGGAAGAATTAAGCATTTTATCTTTGTCTGTCTTACATGATAAAATTCTGCATATTTCACAATTGCTTTCTATTTAAAACAAGATACCAATTTGGAAGAGTTCACTCGCAATGTAGAAAATAACCAATACAATTTAGCACAGATTAATAAAAAGAGAAGAAAAAAAATATACATGTATATTCTTTTAGATATGTCCCGCAGCACGAACCTTCATTTCAGCAGGTTTGTAGAAACGGCGTTCCTTGTCTTCGTTAGCGGTGCGGTAGCCATCCCGGAGGAAACGTTTGAAGCCGTACTTGCCGCGCAGCTTTCGGACGATCTTGTCCAGTGTCTGGCTGTAGAGGGCGTCATCATCTACTGCAAAGGCAGGATAGCTGATGGTTGGAAGCAAGGCTGCGTCTGTGTTCTACCGGGGAAAACACAATAGTCACAGGTTATCACAAAAACCGTCAATGTTGGTAAGTCGGTCTGTGTCTTGAGCGTTTTGTAGCATTGACTTCCATAGATACGCTGACACCTTTGTTCCTCAATTTAGTGATAACCTTAATGCTTTAACATGGCGTCCATATTTTAACCACATCACGTTCACTAACTAAGTCAACACTGAAACCTCAGTTTCTGAAAACCTAAATCTGGTAGATGATGAAACAAAACAAGCACCTTTATCTTGGAGACAAAAAATGCCAAAACACACAGAATAGTTCCTTTTGAAATATACCCGCGTACAGGTGGACTTGGTCTTAAGTTATATTCCTAGGGTTATTAGTATCCATTAACTGATTGATGAATTAGAATGAAACCATAAGGTAAATCATGGGTGAAAACTATTGGTTGATAATTACCTTTAGCACAAATCTGTATGTTCTAAAGGGCCACAGACAAAGGTGCAGATGCCTTTGAAAACTACTTTTTCAGTTTTGTATCATATCAAATTTAGAAAATCTACACGACTGAAAACATTTGAAGTCATCATCTTGAAAACTGCAATGGATTGGTTTTCTTTATTTTTTCTGATATATTGTAGACTTAACAATTAATCCTTGAATCTAGAAGGACCAGTTTTATAGGTACTTTACATATTTTGCAGTTGCAATCCTAGTATAAACTGGAACAATCACAAAGAATGAACATTAATAAGAATGGAATATTTAGACTTTGCATTTAATCTCATATTTCATTTTATGTTTGGTTTAATCTATGAATCAGTGAAAATGAAAGCTATTAGGCCCCAGCCGCACTGAAAACAGCTATGAATATGAACATTTTTCAATAGACGGCAGAGCTTCCTAAAGTGAAATACTTGCTTTCCATATTCTGCTTGGACTGTCTTCAAATTGAATAACTGCAGACATGATAACTTATGAAAAAGTTTGTCTGACAACAAAAGGACTAGATTTTGTTAGTCGATTATTAAATGTAGATGTTGTGTTTTCTATTGCAACCTTTTTTACTTTCCACACAACTGCTCCGTTTCTTCCAATCAGTTCTTATTCTTCGACTTCTTCCCTCCAGCCTACAACTCCAATTGACATGCTAACTTCCTCTGCAGCTGCGGCTGAAATAAGATATCAGCCGGCAGAACACATTCAGTACAGATATTGAATGTGTCTTGAATTGTGTATTGAATTCCAATCTTTAGCTGCAGTGTAAGAGATACTGATATTCTATTGATAATTTGCTTGGCTTGACATTATCCCTGTTGGTCTCTCGCTCCTGACTGCACGCCATCCCTCTGGTCCCTTAACGCTATTTTCGCACAACTATTATGCCACTCTCACCGTTTAATTATACTAATTTTCTTCTAAAGCTGACTGTGGCTATTCTGCCTGACACACTATAAACCGAGAGAGAGATGTGATCATTTAAGTGTCTGCAAGCGTTGGAGTAGAGAAAAGGGAATGGTTTTGCTACTGCTTTCTCCTCTACCTACCACTTATTAATTTCACTCCTTTTACCCTCGCTCTAGCTCTTCAGCAACCTGTCTCTTTCCACATCTCCTGTCAAGGCTGCAAAACACATGTATAGGCAGTGTAGTGTCGGCACCTTGGGGGAAATTTTGATTTGGAATATTGACGTGAATGGGTAGTTGGATCGATGTGTATAATTAACCTTTTCTGAGATATGCATATGCGTGTCAGGCATCTATTTCTGTCTTTGATAAGTGGATTCTTTGTACACAGCTGCTTCACGGAGACTCAAAAAAGGTAAGAGAAGAAGCAGGGTGCATCAACGTATGCAAATCTAGACATATAAAGATAAAGTCACTAGTTCTGATTACAAATTAGAATTTACATCCGATCAAACTTTATTGAAATTGCACTTTTCATACAGAAAAGGTAATACAAGTGCTTAAAAAATCCCAAAACAATTAAAAATGTTATAATAGCACTACCCCCCCCCCCCCCGCTATCCAGGTAAAACACAGACTAACATATAACTTTGTGATTAAAACCCATTATTATCAACGCATTTCACAAACACAGGACTGTATAAAACAAGAATACAATTATAGAATAAGAATAAAACAAAAAAAGTCCAGTTCAATAATGGCCAAATGAAAAAGGTCTGTCTTGAGCTGGCCCTTCAAAGTATAAACAATAATTTTGTATTTCCTCCAGTTAGGATTAAAAGGCTATTACCATAAGACCTGAGGGTTCTAGAGGGTTCCTAAGTTAAAAGCAAATCTTATAAATAGCCAGGACAACGACCATTAAGACCATAAACATCCTTTTGATGTTATCTTGTGCTTTATCTGCATGTTTTTCAGTTGTTTGTATAGGGGTTTCATTCGTTGCATAAGAAATATGGATGGACTCACATGCGAGCGGGACTCTCGGGGCAGGAGGGAACACAGTGTCTGCCTGTTCCTGTTGTGGGCGTCCAGATCCACAAATATCACCGACCACGAACAGCCCTGCAAAACACATCAGCAGAAAGCTTGAACTATTCCCCTGTTACGGGTGCACAACAAAAGCACACAATATTATGTTAGGTACAGTACTGTATGTAAGCACACACACAAATGAACCTCAAAAAAGTCCTATAACTTTAAAATATGTGACAACTGTATTGGCTAAAGCCCCCTCCATCATACCTCCGCACCTTCAAAAAAACACTCTTTTGCCGTATGGATATTTTTGGGTTGAACATTTTTTTCAAGTACAGTGTAGGAGTGCTTGTAAAACAGCGAGTCGAGAGTCATCTTACCGCTTCAAAATGTACAAAAAACGAAGTGCTGCTACTACAATGGGGTCTGTCCGCATTGCACTTTAACAGCTCTGAGAGAGCGGAGGCACCAGGTTTTACTTTGACTTACTAAAGGAAGTGATCAAGCTTCTAAAAAGCTGGTCCAGTCCACTTCATCCATCCATCAGCAGCGCTTGCATAAAACCAACTCAGTCACTCCTGCTACCTGCTAAGCAGTTTCCAATGTAAGTCAAATGCATTATGTATGGTTAGTGCCAGAGTCCACTTTTTCCCTACAAAAAACACACATCCAGCAAAGGCTTTTAGTCAAATCAGCAAGCTTTCACGCCGCAATTTGCATAGTGCAGTGGATTGCCGGCCGTCAATGTGCTGTACTGCAGGCAGCTGTGTGACACGTCAGGGAAATGGCTCTCCTCTGGGAGAATATTCCGGTGTTATAGCAGCAGGGTATGAAAAGACATTCACCTTGGATGTTTCCTTCAGTAAGCTGACATGTTCTTTACCATAACGTACAAACATCTATGTGTATGTAAAATACGTCAGTAGTTTTAACACGGAAAACTCGGAAACTCGTTTTTAGTTCTTTCTGCCTTTCTTAGCTGCTTTATGCATATAAAAGAAAAAGATGAGCCTATACCATATGGTTATAATCAAAACGTGAAGGAAAAACAATGTATAACAAATAAAAACAGATGTAAATTGAATTGAAAGGATCGTCCAGAAAATATCCATTAATATAAAACCCTGTTTCAATCAGTATCACTGTGCTTTAATAACTAACTGCAACAAATGTTTCTATTTTTATAAAAAAAATTGCATTTTTTCATTTGATTGAAAATGCAGTTTTGTTAAAAAAACAATGATATCTTTAATTTATCATTAATATATAATTAATACAAATCTTATATTGATTTGGAAAGCTCAGAAAAAAACATTGGTCTTTTAAGATTTGCAATGATTTTGTTAAGTAAGCTTTTTAAATAGAGTAACGTCTGAAATGATTCTGTCGACTGCACTGCATTCTCTGTATTACTTTGAATGTGTGTTGATAAAGCAACAAACTAAAAATTACAAAAAACAAATGTGCTCTAGAAATGGTTAAATAATATAATTTAAGGCCAAAAATGGTCACGGAGAGATTTGAAAATTATGCCCAAACAACTGCCAATATAAAACAAGCATAAATTATATTTTGAAGAATGCATTTTTCTTTTTTTGTCCCTTTTGCCACCTCAATTACCCTTTCCAACTACTCTGAGCAGGTAGCGCCGTCCGTCTGTAATCAAAGTGCGGCTGTATAATACGAGTTAATTACGGGCCACCATAATCTATGCCATAAAGCCCTCAATGTCACTGCCATTATTATGGGTTGCTAATAAATGTTGACAGGATGTAGATTATATAATACCTCTTTCAAAGACCATAACGTACATCAGCTTGACATCGCTTTCTGTGCATTGATGTGCACAAATTAAAATTGATAGATTTATGTCAGCATAGGGAAGACTGCTCGGAACTCACAGGAAAAAAAGGATTGAGTGTGTCCGCTCCAGTACATCCCTGCTCTACACTGGGTGTGAATTAGATGACAACCGGAGATAGAAAGTGGAACCTGAGGGTTTGTCTGGCTGTTTGTTCACAGCTCTGTGAATCCAATCGCTGGCTTTGAAAGGGAAAGACTTCCACTTCTCGGGATACATTTATCCGCGTTTTTTACGGAAGAGCTGCGATCCTAACAAAACATAATTTTTAGGTTTCCCAACCACATGTCTCTGACCCAAACCGAGGATATGAAATGTTACCATCAACTCGGAGATACAGGGTCCAACTGTTAAGTAAAGTTAGGCTGAAGAAATCACTTTCCTGTGTGTTATACAGTATAGCTTTGTGTGCATGCAAATGGTCTACAAAGGCTAAAATCCCAAAGTTCCCTCCAGAGGGAGTTTCTCTCCCACAAACTCTACCCCTTGCCTGGAAAGCCTCTGTTGGACTCCTTTGTTTACTTTCCTTACATAGTGTAATCACATGTAAACATGTCACCGTAGAGACACAAAATACAAATATGAACCTGAAAATTAAAGGGTCTTGAAAATATCGTCTTCCGTGATTGGAATCGTATTTTAAATGTCTGTTTCCTTGTATCTTGTCTTAATATGTTTCCTTGTCAATGTTTCAAAGGAACTGCTTTGATGGGTAAGGGTAAGGGATCATGAGAAATTAAACTTCACCAAACTGAGTGCAGTCCGTCCATTCATGCAGCACAAAGGCTAAATTGGACACACACCCGCAAGAGTCCACAGCCGGTGTGTTAAATGCGATAACAGAGTTTTTAACGTGTTGTATGTTCCGGTTAAAGGGGTTGTGGGAGTTACACTTGTGAGGATGAGAGTCAGCTGGGAAATCAAGATTGATAGAGATCATTAACAGGCGACGGGCTGGCTTGTAGCACTTCCATTCCCACAGGAGGACAGGAGACTGGCCCCACACAGCATGGGTCATAAAGCAGCTACCTCTATAAATTGATTCTTTCAACAAGCAGAGCTTGATGACAAAATCCATTTGCAGGCACAGTTAAACCCTCATTTTGCAGTGGATCAGAAGAGACAAACAAACAGAGACTGTATTATACACTCTACTGACAGCCCTTTATGTTGATCAGATAAATACTTGAATGCAGTGTAAGGCCAGAGAAGCTGGATAAAAGCCAAGTAGAGAAAAATAAGAAAATATCATAGGAAAGCAGGATTGCTATGTGCACTGCTTCATTGTCCAATCCATTAGCAGACGTAATGGATGTCCCTTTTTTTTGTTTTCTACCACACAAGCAGGAAAACAAGATATCTACTTGTGGACATTTTGAGGGAGATTCGGAGAAAGACCGGGGACAAACATGAACTGTGGCCATTGATCAAAGTCTGCTGAGCCCAACACAAACATTCAAAGTGAATCTCCGGATGGTCAAGCACCCACTTGAGGAAATAGCCTAGCATTGATGACAACAGCACTCATTATGCTGTTGATGTGTACTTGGTAAATCAGCAGTTTTTTGTTTTTTTTAATTCAGCTGCTGACTCAGGTTGCAAGCATCAATCATATCCATCTGATGGATGGAGCTATAAAGGGCCTCTGCGGATGAGAATCAGAAAACGGATGTACATCTATAATGTGATCTTCTGCCATGCGACACGATGGGACGGGCTCAAGTACATGCATCTCTTGGGACTTGTATGAGGAGTTTGTGAATTATTCAAATACCTGGTTTCCGAACAGGTTGAACCCATTGATGGCCTCCAGAGCAGCTTTAGCCAGGCCCACAGAGCTGTGAAGAAAAAGAAACATTAAGGATTACATGAGACATTTTTCAAATAACCACCAATTTTCTACGTTTGTACAAAGTATATTACATCACGTTTCAATTAGTCGAGAGCTACTTTTACTCCTCTTTTTTTTGTTTTTCGTAGTGTATGTATTTAGCATATTTTAACATTATTAAAAGCTTACCTTTAACCTTTGTGTGCTGTTTGGGTCTGTGGGACCCGTTTTCAGTGTTTACTAAAATAACATGTATGCAATTTAATTATTTTAACCTGCTTTATTTGGGGGTGGACCTCACATCCTCTCGGGGGGTCCGGGGGCATGCCCCCCGGGAACATTATTATTTTTTTAAATGTTGAAGTTAAAAGCATCAATCTGCTGCACTTTGAGCACAACATGAATTTATGGATTCAGCTCTCAACACTCATATGAAAGGGAGCTGTATACTTTTCAATGATCCAAACATCCTTAGAATATGATCACAATAACAAATAATTTAAACTTGTTTATTCTTATCTTATGTTGCCTAGTTAGCATTCTTTCTTTTTATTTATGCATATTTTACTAATCACTCCCCTTTTAAACTGTTTTTTTGTGTACTGTCCTATAGTACACATTGGAAGGATTTCTCACTTTATCTATATTTAATAGATAAAGGTGTGCCCTCCCTCCCTCCCTAGCTGTCTCGCTCGCTCTCTCTCTCCGTCTCGCTCGCTCACAGAGGCTGTGTGCTCCTCCGTGGCGCTGACGGCTTGCGTTCAAAAATTATAATAAACATATTTGTAAAGTGGGGGGACACAAACGGGATTTCGATAAGTGGGGGGACATGTCCCGCAAATCAAGCAAGAACGTGATTGGTCGATATTCATTGTGGGGGTGGGGGGAGGAGGGATGTTAGATATAGATATAGAGTTGTAGTAAGTAGATAGAGTTCGCTATGATTGAGGTTTTCTTTATGCATAGGGTAGATTCTTTTAATTACATTTCCTTTTTTGTTTTGTGTATTTTTTACATTTTGGATTTGCTTGGCGATCTATTTTTAGAACATGCCCCGCGGGCGACTGACGTTGCCCCTGCGGGCGACTAACTGCCCGTGTTGGCTACCCCTGCTTCAGACGGATTCAAAAATGCATGCGTTAAGTTTTTTTTACCAATAATGTTTTTACCTTATGGTGTTTTTATTCTAGAATGTCATTGATAATTTTATTGCAATTAAATCACAGCAATATCAATTGGTTTCATTTCGCTGTAGTAAAGATTGATTCAGCCATCGGAAAAAACACAAATAATCCCGCTGTCAAACTCGTGCGGATAACACGTGGCAGAACTTTGCTCGTGTTTGGGGTGAACAAAGCATGTGAGGGACAACAATTGTGGTTCTTAGATGGAAACCATAAGTGTCTTTCAATTGTCAGAAGCCCCTCCCCCCCATTTAGAATCACACTGGAATCACAAGCGTTTCTGTAAGGATTCAGTGGAGCTGAAGGGTCCTAAGATTGTGGTCTACTGTAGATAATGGATCTCTTTTATAAAAAACCTTGTAGTGAATTTCACACATGCTGTCTACTATGATTGCAATGCAGACTAAATGTAAATCCATTTCTCTGTCATTTTGGTTCCCTTTCTTCCTCGCCAAGATTTCCCTAGAAAATAAAAACAGGGGGAAAAATTGAAGGGGAACTTGGCGGTAGCTGTGTTGACATATCAAAACGAATGTAATGCCATTAGTGAAAGCTGAATTGATGCTTAAAGGTGACCTATCATGCAAAATGCACTTTTGTACGTCTTTTATACATGAATATGTGTCCCCGGTGTTCCAGGGAACTCACCAAGTGTCAGAAAACACAACCCTCTCTATTTTCCTCCATACCCAAATCTCTTAAAAAGGGGCTGCAACGGATCTGATACAGACTGATTCATATTTGAACACTTCTATGACGTCACAGAAGTGGCGCTATGGCTATTGGGCCAACTCCACCAATCAGGAGGAGACAGCCACGGACATTGCCGTTCGAAAGCGCTGGAGACGCTGTAGTACATATGCCAGGCCTGTAGATGGTGCTGTTCTCACAGAATCAGCCCATGCAAAGACAGTGTTAAATTGAGCGAAATGAGGAATGGCTAAAATGCATGATCTGTTTGGTATTTTGAAAAATAAAAAGTATAAATATGCCTTATATAGGTATGGTCCTACACTATATTATTAAAATATAGCATGATAGGTCCACTTTAAAATAAGTTGGATGGCTGTTGCAGATTGTAAGAGAGCTCTGCATGAGTAGTTATGTGAAAAATATTACACCAAAAACGACCAGTACTGGTCTGCATGGGTGTCAACTTCTCACACAGAGATAGAAGAGATGTAATGATTGCTGGGGAAACAGGAAAAGGTGGTACCAGGAAACAGCATTGTGATGCAACTGTTTCAGTTGACAGTTGGAGGTAAATAATCGGATGATGAGAATGTATTTGTAGACTGGGAGTCTATGAGCTCACAATGTAGAGTTACCAACAATACTCCTAACTCCTACATTAAATGTGATTGCATGCAGTGGCTCATATGGCAATTGAGGCCATACTGGGTTAGTAATTTCAAATGCTTCCATTTGTGTCCAATGTCCCATCGGTAGTTGTTTGATCCATTGTTATCATTACAATAACGACGAGAGTAGATTTACAGTCTTAGAACTAGATTCTGACACAGGTCCTTTCAAGACATTCCTCATGGATTAATCATTGAAACTGTGCTGTGGATATCGAAACTCCAATATGCCAACCAATGAAGGGCAACTGTGGCTGTGAGATACTGCGGTCCTCTTTCGATTGGAAGGTTGTAAGTTTGAACATTTTTCGATGTATCCTTGAGCAAAATACTTAACCCCTTATCTCTCCCGATGGCACGGTCAACGGTGTGTGAGTGTGTGTTAATGTTAGCTTCCCTGGGCAGGTGGCACATTGCTCTGTATGAATGGGTGAAAGATGACTTGTACAATTAAAAAAACGCTTTGAGCGGTCCTAAAGATGGGTAAAGTGCTATACAAATACAGTCCATTTACCATTTACTGTTTACCAAAATGTCATAATTTCCATTACTTTATGCTATTAGACATTTGTGGAAGGCATCATAATTAGCATATGAATGATCACCTTCGGTCATTGCTATTTTTAGTGTGGAGGCCAAAAAACAACTGAACCAATTAACCTGTGACTTTTAGAATGCCCTTAAAGTTCGGGGCCCTTCGGAAGTCACCTTCTTAGCCCGGTTGGAAAACCACTATTGATTAGAAAATGACATACAATCAATTAGTAGAAGTAGTATGAGTTACAGAATAACATTAATAATACAGAGTGTAGGATAGTACAGTCCGAAACGTTTTTTCTGGTAAAATTATGATTGATTCATCATGAGTTGAGATATTTAAAGACAATCAGCTGCTACGACATTAGATACACCACTTTAAATAAAACACTCCAGTCTAGCCATTTTACTGGGTGTGATGATAAACATAAGTCCTTTCTTTGCCAATTGGCACTGTGTTACTTGAAATGACTCGATTTGTTCATTTACGCAGATCTCGTCGAACACTTTGGAGTCTGCATACAGCATGGTTATCGGTATGACGCAATCACATGTATGAGCTAGCTCACTAATTGTGAAAACCCAAAGCATGACTTGGATGGCAGGCTTATTCACAAAATCAAATGTGTAATCTTCTCTTCAGACATCTTGGCAAGCTGCTGCCAATAGCCTTGGATCGTTGGAGGAAGAAAAACAAATGCTTCACAGAGATAAGCAAAGGCAGAAATTGAGGATCCTTATCGAGGCACTGAGGGAGGAGAGGGACGCTGGTTCGACCTTGGATGATAAATCAGTTAGAAGCATGTGACAAAAACTCTCTGAGTTCCAGTAGCGTGACGTGGGGTACAATTTGAGGAAGCCAATAATCTATGTCCTTTTTTTGTGGGGGGGGGGGTTATGTAATGCAGTGG